GTACTCTATGCGTATATATACTTTGCGGGGTATAATCGGCTAAAGCTAGAATCAATCAATTTTATAAGAGAGTCAACCTTGGACGCAGGCGTGTGACAAATTTGGACTAAAAATATACAAAAACCAGTAAAGACAGTCTTAAAGTCGGGCGGGCCGACTTTATGATACCCAACACCACTTTGCTAATTTAGTAGAGCTCCACATAACAAACGTTTTAATGGGTGAACTCAACATACACGCAATAATTATGATCATAATTATAATTATAACGGACAATATATGCCGAAGCATTTTATATCTTTTAAATTCGGACTTGTATTGCCCGTTTGGTGCACAATTAATTTGAAATCGCATAAAGATATATATGGGAGCTATATCCAAATCGGAACCGATTTCAATAAAATTTGGCAAAGATATTTCTGAGTTGTATTTGATATATTTCCCTGAATATCTTTGTTACGGAGTGCATATTACGGCTGTGGGTAACAAATATAACAAATCGAATGAACAGTTTATATGGAAGCTATAGCTATATGTGAACCGATCTTCACCAAATTTGACATACTAGCTTCTAGACTCAATTCGACAAATTTAGACGTTTGGTGCACAATAAAACGTAAATCGGTCGAAGTTTAATAAAGGAGCTATATCCAAATCTGAATCGATTATCTCCAATTTCAATAGGGTTCGTCCTAGGGCCAAACAAATGAATTGTGCAAAATTTCATCTGGATATGGCAATAAATGCGAACTGTACTTTGTTTAAAAAATACATGGACAGACGGACGGACATGCATAAATCGACTCAGAATGTGATTCTATGCAAATCATCAAATGGAACTATGGGTCTATCTCGTTTCCTTTTGCCTGTTACAAACAACTGCACAAAGACATAATACCCTGACCACCTTGTGGTGTAGGGTATAAATAATAAAATATACTAAAAATTGAGAACTTGTATTGGATAAACGGAATAAGGTAGAATTCTGAAATTTGGAATGAGAGTCACTGAGGGAGTACAGGTAAGATGCACCAAAGGGATTTTAGGTTACGAAAAGTTCTAAAATATGAAAGATGTTATGTGAACGGATAGAGCTAAAATCTTGAAATTTAGTATGAAAATCAATATTCGGAAGCATGTTTGAAATATGAAGATGGTTTTGGAAATGTGCACTAGGGTACTGTACTAAAAAGTACAAAATTCGAAACAATTTGGCTTATTGTGAATCGAAGAAGCTAGAATTTTTAAATTTTGTATTGGGGTCCCAGTTGGGTGCACGTTTGTGAGTTGGCTTTGGAAATGTGTACTGCAAGTGCACGAAAAGTACTAAATTTGGTACTATTCGGTATTGGGTGAACAGGTAGTCCTTGAAATTAAAAAATTTTTAATTAATTTTTATACCCTACAACACTATGTGTTGGGGGTATTATAAGTTTGATTGGGCCAACAATTATGTAACACCTCGAAATATTGGTTTCCCACATAGGAAAGTGTATATGGATCTTCCTATCTGGCAGAGATGAGTCGATCTAGCTATGTATGTCCGTCCGTTCGTCTGTCCATGTTAATTTGTAATCAAGCTACAGGTCGCAATTGTGAACCGATCCTCACGAAATTGAAAATGGAGGTGGGGTTATGGTCAGAATAGAACCATATTATTTTTAGAGTTGATCGCATGATATTTAGAGGTTAAAATGGACCAAAAACAGAAAAATTTCCTGATTTTTCAGTTGCTCTATAGGCTACAATTATGAACCAATCGACGCGAAAATTTATATGGAGTTAGAGTTTAGGAGTGGACAGAAACCTTCCAATTTGGAAGCAGCTAAAATAGACCCTAACTTTTATGTAAGAAAATAGGGAAAATTTCCACTAAACCGCGAATTTTTTGAACCCCAGCCATATCACAAATATATTAAAAGATCACTTCTGACCGTTACAGTGACGCTAATAGCCAAGAAATCGGATATATAGCAAAAGAGGTACAACATATATGTAAAAGAATTGATTTTATTTATTCTGCTTATAAATCAAGAACCGCTGGGCCGATTTTCACAATTCCCATCAATTCGGAATGGTCTTTTGTCAGAAAAGCAAAAAGTCTAAGAAAATCGCGGAAAAATATACCAATAAAAAAGTGAATATTTTTTGTTCCATTTTTTTCAATTCTTGTCATATTTTTTATCGCATGCGATTTTTTCAATTTGACTTGCAATTTTGAATTGTAAATTTTCTAAATATTTACACCCTTCAACACTACGTTTTGAGGGTATTATATGCATGTGGCAATTATCGTCCGATCCTCACGAAATTTGGCATGGGGGTGGAGGTAGGGTCAGAATTAAAGCCTATTGTTCTTAAGATGTACATCTAGAGCGTCAAATGGACTAAAAAAAATATTTTTTTTCTAATTTTGTAGTCGCTCTATAGGTCACATTTTAAACTAATCGACACGGAATCTCTCATCGGAAGAGAGTTAAGGACAGGGAAGAAGTGTAGTATATTGGATGACCATTGGATTACATTTAGCTGTAAAATGGACCACAACTTTCACAACTTTTGCCAAATTCTACGGGCCAAAAAACTAAGGGTAACCTCTGGGCGGGGCTCTTTGAGATTATTTCAAAAACGATATCTTCCAAAATGGATGGAGGGGAGTTCGAACATATTGTAGTGTTGTAGGGTATCACATGGTCGGCCCCGTACGACAATAGCCTTTGCTTACTTGTTATTATTTGGGGTTGGTTTCGGAAATTTGTACTATAATTGTACGAGAAGTACCATATTTGGTATTAGGTGAAGGGATAGCGCTGGAATCTCGAAATTTGATATGGATGTCACTGTTGATGTCTGTGGTTGTGAGAAGAAGCTGGTTTTGGATATGCGTACTATAATTGTATTAAATTTGGGAATGAGGATGCTGAAATCCTAAAATTTGATATTAAGATCACTGCTGGTATCTGAGGTTGAAATATGAAGATTGTTTCGAAAATCTGTACTATAATTGTTTGAAAAGTAAGCTGGCTTTGGAAATGCCATGGAAATTGTACTAAATTTGGTGAAAAATAAAATTTAGATGAAATCACAGGGCTGAAATCCTGAAATTGGAAATTTAAGGTTACTCTTGATTATTATTATTTTAGAGAGAAATTATTTTAAACATGTGTAATTTGACTGTACACATGTTTACTGACTGAAATGAAAGTAAATTTGGTATTGGGTGAAGGGTAAAGGGATAGAGTTGAAATCCCAAAATTTGATATGGATGTCGTCGTTTTAACATGCAGGTGTTGATGGAAATTCTGAAATTTGGTATAGAGGTCACTGTTGTTGTATAGTAAGGAGAGAAGTAGGGGGTTTTGGACATGCGCAGTATAACTGTACGAAATGTGTGGTAGTCAATTTGGGATTGGGTCTCAGGATAGGGCTGGAATTTTGAAATTTGATATCATGGTAATTGTTGGTATATACTTTTGACAGAAGCAGGTGGATTCGGCAAATATTGCAAAATAAACTCGGGATAAAGCCATTGAAATTCCAAAAAGTACAAGAACTTACACCCCAACAGAAAAATAATAGACTCAAAAGAGCTAAAGAGTTTCTGCGCTTAGCCGAATTTAGTTATCTCCGATGTCCAATAGTTTGTAAACAAACAAAATTACCGTGTTTACTTGTCAAAGAGGTCAGCAGGAAATGTGCACCTTCGGTTGACAACCAGAACTCAAGCGCTGGTCATGGTGATAGTGTGGGCCGCCATAACAGCCGATTGTCGCTCTCAGCTCGTATTAATCTACCATGGCGACAGAACAAATGTCGAATATTATCGCGAAAATATTCTTGCGAAAATAGCCTTGGGCACGCATACATTTTGGCCGCAGACCTTGGACATTCCAACAGCACTCAGCACCATCGCACTCAGCACGCGCCACCCAAGATTGGTTACAAAATGAGGTTCCTCGCTTCATTTCCAGCGCACAATGGCCGCCAAAATCTCCGGATACCAATCCGTTGGACTATTGTGTCTGGAGTATTTTAGATCACCTCAAGCAAGCGCTTCGCCGGGAATGGGCCAAAATAACGCAGAGCAATATTCGGGCAGCGTGTGACGGTTTCATTGGCCGTTTGAAGGCCATAATTCATGCCAAAGGTTACCAATTCAAACAAATCTAAACTTATTCTAAAATTTGATGCTATTTCTGACAGTTTTATACCCTCCACCATAGTATGGAGCCTATATTAAGTTTGTCATTCCGTTTGTAAATATACATTTTAAACCTCACAAAGTATATATATTCTTGATCAGCATAAAATTCTATGTCGACTTAGCGATCAATCAAAAATCAATTTCGGAACAGTTGGTCACGAACACAACACAATTCGAAATTCCGAAATTGTAATTCCAACGGACATCACATATGTAGTCGTCATTTGTATTTATGCCTTTGGGTCAAAATATGAGGAGGCACACAATTCCCAATATAAGAAAAAATATTATAAAGACAAGGTGCGGTTATAAAATTTTCCGAATCACAAAACCAGCTACGCCCTACTATAGCCCCTATTTATTAATATTGTTTACGTCCATTATATGTTATTGTTTTATTTAATGTTCGTTATATTTCAGAATTTAAACCATGACTGCGGTGAAAATGAGAAGAACGATTGCTAGCTGGATTAATTTGATTATAGGATGGTTTCACTTTTTGTTTTCGATTGCGCTGTCCATGGGTCTGCTGTACTATTTGATATTCTATTATGAGAGACCACATGATAATCGTATGTTGTAATATTCCAAAAAAATATATAAACCAAATATAAATCTCACTTACCTCCTTCAGCAAAAATTGCCGCATTTGGACTACCGGTGCTTTTGGCTATATTTTTATTCAGTTTCTCCAGTTTTATCTTCGATATACTTCTGATAGCTGGTATTCTTGCTGTAAGTAGACATTACCAAAATTTATAAATGTTATAAAATTGATTCCTATTTTCAGAGACGAGTTAATTTAATATCCGCCTTTGTTATTGGCAACTATATGGTCTTGGGTTTCCTGATGTCTTGCGCTGTGTTCTTCTTTGCCGAGGATTATGTACACAAGGATACAACAGTGGGAAATTTAATAAATCCTCTAATGCATGGCTTGACATTGGGTAATTAATGCTACATTCTTTCGTTATAATTCCGTATTTTAAGAATATATTGCGCATTTTCTCACAAATCCATTGCAGTTACCATGATTTATTTATTCTACCCCGTCTATCTGTTGGTCCAACAGACACGCCTACCACCCTCCAATGATCATGAAATTTTGGATGAGACTGATGTTTTAGCCCGACCTGATGCATCTTCGAAAACTACGAAACCTGTTAAACACACCAAACCCTCTAAGCCTGCCCGAACGAATGGTAATGCTGAGCCAGTCAATTGTTAGAATTTGAAAATTTAAATTTCAAATCAAAAATTGTTAAAACGAACCAACCAACGAATAGTTTTTTATTAACTTTTGTGAAACGAATGCTTTTATTGTTATTGTTAGGGCTGCAAATAAGCCAAAAACTACGACCAAAACAATTATTTATATATAAATATTAAACACAAAAAAAAAAAAATAAAAAAAACAAAGCAAACATATTTTTGAAGAAAATTTATTAAATAAATGTAATTGTTGACAAAATTTTGAAATACCATATACATATGTTAATATTTTATTTAATGTTGGAAAATTGAAATCATTGTAGAATCAAGTAGGTAAAGTTATGCAATCATATGTTTACAATTTTTACATTTTTTATACCTACACCACAAGGTGGTCAGGGTATTATGTCTTTGTGCATTTGTTTGTAACAGGCAAAAGGAAACGAGATAGACCCATAGGACGAACCCTATTGAACTTGGAGATAATCGGTCAAAATTTAGATATAGCTCCCATATATATCTTCGTCCGATTTGCCTTTTATTGGGCACCAAACGTGTAATATTAGCCCGAATAGTATGGAATTTTGCATATACAACCAAATTGCATATACAACCAATTTGATCGAAATCGGTTCAGATGTAGCTATAGCTACCATATATATTGTTCATACGATTTGTTATTTTTGTCCTCCGCAGCCGTAATATGCACTCTGTAACAACAATATTTGAGGAATATATCAAATGCTGTTCAAAAATACATTTGCTAAATTTTATCGAGATCGGTTCAGATTTGGATATAGCTCCCATATATAACTTCGTCCGATTTACCTTTTTTTGTGCACCAAAGGTCTAATATATTGGATGGAATTTGGCACTTACGACCGAATTGAGTCTAGAAGCTAATATGTCAAATTTGGTGAAAATCGGTTCAGATATAGCTATAGCACGTATATACTGTTCATCCGAATTGTTATATTCGTTCCCCACAGCCGTAATATGCACTCCGTAACAACGATATTCAGGAAAATACAGCTCAGAAATATCTTTGTGAAATTTTATCGAGATCGGTTCTGATTTAGATATTGCTCCCATATATATCTTTATTCGATTTCCAGTGAATTGTGCACAAAATGGGTAATACAAGTCCGAATTTAAAAGATACAAATGCTTCGGCATATTCAGTCCTTTGAACTTTATTTTATAATCATAGCGTGTATGAACTTTTAATTGTTATGCGGAGCTCTACTAAATTAGCAAAGTGGTGTAGGGTATCATAAAGTCGGTCCCGCCCGACTTTAAGACTTTCTTTACTGGTTTTTAATTTTATTGAATGAAAGCAAAAAATTCGGAAATAGCATCAAATTTTAAAATAATTCTTAATTTGTTCGATTTGGTCAAATTAGGCACGATTTATGGCCTTCAAGCGGCCAATGAAACCGTCACACGCTGCCCGAATATTGCTCCACGGTATTTAGGTCCATTCCCGGCGAAGCGCTTACTTGAGGTGATCGACACTTTGGTATTTTTTAGTGCCAACCTTGCTTTCCACAATACTCCAGACACAATAGTCCAACGGATTGGAATCCGGAGATCTTGGTGGTCATTGTGCGCTGGAAATGAAGCGAGGAACCTCATTTTGTAACCATTCTTGGGTGGCGCGTGCTGAGTTCGATATTGCTGAGTCCTGTTGGAATGTCCAAGGCATTTATTCTGATGCCACGGTCGATTAATACGAGCGGAGAGCGACCATTGGCTGTTATGGCGGCCCACACCATCACCATAGCTAGCGCTTGAGTTCCGGTGGCCAACCGAAGGTGCACATTTTCAGCTGACCTCATAGGCAAGTTAACACGATCATTTTGTTTGTTTATAAACTGCTGGACAACGAATGTTTTCTCATCGGAGAATACCAAATTCGGCGGTGGTGACTACCACTTTCGGCTAAGCGAAGCAAATCTTCAGCTCATTCGAGTTTATTATACCCTACAACACTATGTGTTGGGGGTATTATAAGTTTGATTGGGCCAAAAATTATGTAACACCTCGAAATATTGATTTCCCACATAGGAAAGTATATATGGATCTTCCTATCTCGCCGAGCTGAGTCGATCTAGCTATGTATGTCCGTCCGTCCGTCTGTCCGTCTGTCCGTCTGTCCATGTTAATTTGTAATCACTCTACAGGTCGCAATTATGGCCCGATCTTCACGAAACTTAAAATGTAGGTGGGGTTAAGGTCAGAATAGAACCCTATTTCTTTTGGAGAGGATTGTATAATATTTAGGGGTTGAAATGGACCAAAAACTGAAAAATTTGCTGATTTTGCAGTTGCTCTACAGGTCACAATTATAGACCAATCGACGCGGAATTTCGCATGTAGCTAGAGTTTAGGGCGGGGAAGAAGCCTACCAATTTGGGTGGTCATTGGATAATATTTAGCGGGTAAAATAGACCATATCTTTTTTGTTGAAAAAAATTCAACATTTTTCATTAAACCGCGAATATTTTAAATCCCGGCGAAATCACAAAGACATGACAAGGTTACTTCTGATCTTTACATTGATGTTAAGATCCAACAAATCGGATATATAGCAAAATATGTGCGATATATATGTCTATCAAAAAAGATATGCTTTAAAGATCTCATATATTTCGAGAACGGCTGAACTGATTTCGACAGTTCTCATTAATTCAGAATGGCCTCTTGGCAGGAAAGAAAAAACGTCTAAAAAAATCGCATAAAAATATCTCTGTAAAGATGAAAATATTGATTTTGTAATATTTTCTCATATTTTTTCAATTTTGTCATATTTTTGGCATATTTTCATTTTGAATTAAACATTTGGTAATATTTCTACAGCTAACAAAACTAAGTAGTTGAGATATCAGGATATCATATACAGATCGCATTAATGGCCCGATCCTTACGAAATTTTGCATGGGGATAAAATGAGGGTCAGAATAGAAGCCTACTCTTTTTGGAGATGATCGCCATATATTTGGGGGTTGAAATGGACCGAAACTGCAAAATTGTCAGCAGGTCGTAATTATCGCCCGGTCCTCACGCACATTTGAATGGGGGTTACCGGACATTGCAAAAGCCAAGCAGTTTTGGATGGCCATCCAAAAATATTCAATGTGTGAAGAAGTTTGCCAACTTTTGTAGACAAAATAGGGAAATGTCCATTCCAGTGACTTTTTGGAGAATTCACAAATACAGGAAAGACGCCCTTCTGACTATTTCGTTTACGCTGATTTCGTTGAAGAATATAGTCAAATGTCTGTATCTCATATAGATGCGTTTCAGTCAAAAACCAATAATAAATGTTAATCTTTTGCCATTTCTGAGAGATTATAGGTCTTTGGGAAATATTGGTTCCAGATCTAGAAAGACCATTTACGTGCAACATCTAACAATAAATTGGAAATAAACAAATTATTTTAAGTTGCTTTTATTCGAAAATTAGAGAACGAAACGTGATGGTTTTCTTTTATTATTTGTCACAATATCTTGTGGAATTCTTTCGAGTATCTCGCCTATATAAACTGTATCGTTTATTATAGTGTTGTAGGGTATTTAACGGTCGGCCCCGCTCGACTGTAGCCTTTGCTTACTTGTTTTCTTTCGAGTTTATTTTCTTTCAGTTGCGGTGTAAGTTCTTGCACTTTTTGGAATATCAATGGCTTTACCCCGAGCTCATTTTTCAATATTTTCCGAATGGAATAATGCGATATATTCAGCTCACGAGCCATTTTATGGCCACTGCGACGCGGGTCGCTTCTTTACTTTTCGAGTCATTTCTGCTGATGTTGCGGTTATTCCTTCCACTTCCTTGACGTCGGGCTACGCTACCAGCGTCACGGTAACGAGCGATGGTATGAGACACAAAAGATTTATTCTCATATAAATGCTGGAGTGCTCTAACGATAGCCACTTGTGGTTTTCCAGCCAAATATAAAGTAATCACACTATCCCGCTTGAATTCGATCATGAATATTTTTTTTTTTTCTGGAAAATTCTCACCAAAATGATATTGTACGCTTGTAGACAATATAATCAGCTGTCATTGGAATAATTTTAATAGCTGTCGGACAAGTGGCTTAGAAATGACAGCATTTTGAAGTTGGTTGCAGTTTTTTCTCGCCCTGTCTAATAATAATTCTCAAAATCCCCAAAAATTGACTATATTGAGATTTTATCAGAGAGACAGACTTGCGATAGATGCTAAACACGCATATTTTATGGCAATCTAAAGTACTCAATTCAATCTGAATGACAAGGTTAACAAACCCTAAACTTAATGGCGATACAGCATAAATAACTATAACAAACATAAGATCTCTGTACCTCTGTGGTGTTATGTTGGCAAAACAACTTAAAAAAAAATCAACTTAAGAACATTTACTATTCCTAAACTTTCCTATTTCATTGAAAAGTTAGTCATTCGACTTTCCATAAAAGTTCTCATAATTAATAATAATATAATTTATGCTAAATGAGGAAAACGCTCGTATCTATAGCGCTTGTGGTTCCCAATGCCACACACATTTTCAATGTCATTGCGTTTGAAAATTTCAAACAAATAATGAAACTAAAACTATTAAAGTAACTTGATACGAAAGTTGAATTGCGTTCTAGGACATAGCAAACCACAACAACAATTATAAATTATTCCGCTCTTCGCTCCGTTCTGTATGAAGTCATGTCGTTTTGTTAAAACTTATTAGTCTACATTCATACTCACACGCATAACCGAGAGTAAAGGTCCTTTGAAAATGAAACCAAACAAAAAAATATATTGTAACGATGTCACAGATTCGGAGGATGACTCCGTTTGTTTTTGTGTATTCCAATAGCTGGCGCCAAAGGATTATTTGATTGTCTGCTGCTCTCTGAACTTGTTGTGCAGACACAGACATGGACACAGACACAGACGATAGCATCCTTTCATTGCGGCATAGAAGAAAAAACTATTTTAGTCTTTACCAAGAGCGGCTGGTGTTAACAGTTTACGAGTTGAAAATATTTTGTAAAGAAATAAAATTTAAAAATGTGTTGCCCAAATATGAGAACGCTTAGCCTTATTGTTGGCTGGATACATTTAATATTGGCTGTTATTTTAGCCATTTCCACGTTGATATATCTGTGCACCTATAACAATCAAACCTATGAGGATACCATTATCGAAGGTAAGTATCGTGGAATTTAATATTACATATATTTTGAATATTTCCTTTTGCAGAGAAAATTTCCAATACCGGCCTACCCACGTTGGTATTTCTTTTCTTATTTAGTGTGGCCAGTGTAATATTTGATGTAATGCTGCTGAAAGGAATTTCAGAGGTAGTTCGGGACAAATTTATTTATTTTTAAATTGATTAATTTAATTTATTTTATTATTTTCATATCCCAGGAACGACACAAGCTGATGTCACCATTTGTTTTTGGCAATTATGTGGCCTTGGGAATCCAAACATGCCTAACAGTTTACAATGTTTTTAAAGACCTCATTGATTCAGCAACGTTTGGGGATTTAATGATTCACTTGATATTGAATTCGGTGACCTTGGGTAAGTAAAACGCAACAGTGTGAAATTATTTTTCTTTTAGTGATATTGAAGATTTGTAGTACAAATTTATAACTCTTAGCAAATATTTATGGGTCAAAATGTACTACAACAAACAAGTTAAACCAGTAGGAAATGTCACTAGTCGGGTGGGCCGACTATATGATATACATATTTAGTAGAGCTCCCGTAACAAAGGAATTTATTTGAAGTAAATTACACCACATATCATCATATGACTTTAGAGCAGTCATAATTTGTTTTCAGAGGGAACTAATGTTTGGGAGGCATATCCAATTCTGAATCGGTTCTTACTACATTTGACGGAGATATTTTTTTATCCTTTATACTAAATAACATTGCTGTCGAGCATGCATGATATCACTTCGAGAAATATTATATTAAAAAACAAGTAAGCGAAGGATATAGCCGTGCGGGGTCGACCATGTGATACCCTACAACACTATAATTTTTTAGAAGCCCCCTTATATCCAAACCCCTTTTGGAAGATTTCGCTTTTGAAATTATGACGTAGAGCATTGCCCAGATATTACCCTTAGCTTTTTAAACAGGGGCATTTGCCCAATATTTACGCAACGCGTTGTGTTGTTAGTTGTTGTGGTCCATTTTACAGCTAAGTATAATCCAATGGACACCCAAAATGCTAAACTTCCTCCTGTCCTTAATTTTCTTCGCAGGTAAAATTCCATGTCGGTTTGTTTCAATTGCGTGATCAGGAAAATGTTTCAATTTTTGGTTCATTTGAACCCCTAAATAGTTTGCGATCACCAAAAACAATAGCCATATATTCTGACCATAACCCCAGCTCCATTTTCAATTTCGTGAGGATCGGCCCATAATTGCGACCTGTAGCGTAATTACAAATTAACATTGACAAACAGAGAGACGGACGAACGGATATACATAGTTAGATCGACTCAGCTCGACGAGATAGGAAGATCCATGTATACTTTCCTATGTGGAAAACCAATATTTCGAGGTGTTACATAACTTTTGGCCCAATAAAGCTTATAATACTGTAGTGCTGTAGGGTATAAATATATATTCCACCAAATGAAAACGTACGTCCTGAAATTCAATCCATTTGGGCTGATATTAGCAATGAACCTGGAATAGGATTAAAGATATATATGGGAGCTATATTCCAATCTTAGCAGATTTCGATAAAATTTGGCAAAGGTATTTCCGAGCTTTACAAGATATCTGGTACCAAATATCGTTCTTGTGGAGTGCATATTACGAATGTGAGGGATTTATAATAGAGCTATATTCAAATCTGAATAGATCTGGATACAATTTGCCATATATCTGATATCTGGTACCAAATATCATTCTTGTGGGGTACAATATTTGTTTGCCCTAAGGACAAACCCTATTGAAATTGGTGTGAATCGGCTCAAATTTAGATATAGTTCACATATATTTTCAACCGATTTTGGGTTAAATCTGCACCACATTGCTAATATCAATCCGAATGACCTTAATTTTGGCACATTCGACCGAATTCATCGTAGAAACAAATACTTCAAACTTGGCGAAAATCGGTTCAGAAATAGCTATAGCTCTCATATATATGTTTCATTCGATTTTATTCTGCAGTCGCTCACATGCGTAATATGCACTACACAAGAATGATATTTGGTACCAAATATCAGGTACAGCCCAAAAAAGATTTGGATATATTTCTTATATACGATTATCCGATTTCAGGTTTATTGGGCACCAAATGCCTAATGTCAGCCCAAACTTAGTGAAATGTGGCACTTTCGACCAAATTCCTTTTAGTACTTTAAGTTGGTGAAAATCAGTTCAGATATACCTATAGCTCTCATATATATGTTTCATTCGATTTGGTGATGAAGACGTTTAAATGCGTAATATGCAATCCACAACAATGATATTTGATACCAGACATCAGATACAGCTCGAAAATACCTCTGTGAAATGTTATCGAGATCGGTTCAGATTTTTATTTATCTTTGATATACATCTTAATCCGATTTTACGGTTACTGTCCACCATGTATGTAATATCAGCCCAAATTGGTGGAACTAATTCCGGTGTATCTATTGTTCTAATAAATATTTTTTTAATATAATTCTTATCGAAGCTTTAATAATTACAATTCAAGATAGAAGGAAAAATAAAGAAAAAACAATGAACTGTTAAAAGCACTTTAGAAATCTGATTTGGTGGGGGACTCTTCTCACCGAATCGACCTTAAAATGCGTTTTCGTAATCAGGACAAAATTCTCCACATGGTACTGCGTTGCTTTTTTGGTGTACCCTGCACCAAATAGTGCTAATGGTATTATGTCTTTGTAACATGGAAAAGGAAGCGAGATAGACCCATAGTTACATTTGAGGATCATCACAGAATCACTTTTTCAGTCAATTTATATATGTCAGCCCGTCCGTCCGTCCGTCCATGTATTCTTGTGAACAAAATTCAAGTCACATTTATTATCCGATGGAGATGAAATTTTGCAAACAATATTTGAAATTGGATCAGATTTCGATATAACTCCCATATATCTTCAACCGATATCGGGTTTATTGTGCACCAAATGGCCAATATCTGTCAAAAAGTCCTGAATTTTGGTACATCCGACCGAATTCAGCCTAGAAGCAAGTACATCAAATTTGGAGAAAATCTGTTCAGATAAAGCTATAGCTCCCATATAAATGTTTCATCCGATTTGTTGTGTGTTTGAGTCCCTCACAACAATGATATTTGGTTCCAGCTATCTTATGGAGCTCGGAAATATCTTTGCCAAATTTTATCTAGATCGGCTAAGATTTGGATATAGCTCCCATATAAATCTTTAATCCGATTTCAGGTTTATTGTGCAAATAATGGTTATATCATTCCAAATGGAGTGAATTTCAGGACATACGTTTTCATTTGGTGGAATATATATTTATACCCTACAGCACTATGTGTTGGGTGTATTATAAGTTTTATTGGGCCAAAAGTTATGTAACACCTCGAAATATTGGTTTCCCACATAGGAAAGTATACATAGATCTTTCTATCTCGTCGAGCTGAGTCGATCTAACTATGTATGTCCGTGCGTCCGTCTCTCTTTTTGTCAATGTTAATTTGTAATTACGCTCCAGGTCGTAATTAATCGACCATATTTTTATACCCTCCACCATATCATGGGGTATATTAAGTTTGTCATTCCGTTTGAAACACCTCGAAATATACATTTCAGACCCCACCAAGTATATATATTCTTGATCAGCATAAAATTCTATGTCGAATTAGAGATATCTGTCCGTCATCCGAAATCACGCTAGCTGAAGTAGAAATGAAATAGATTGATAAAATTGTACTCAAATGTATATTATCTCTGCAGGACTTCTGAAAATGGGCCATGTAGGTCCACGTTTTGATATAGCCTCCATATAAGGGTACCACCCGATATTCGGCAATTTTAGCGACATTATTCACCGGAACTAATTCAAATTTGGTATTTGAAGTTCGAAAAGGATACTACAGCCTAAGGCAGAAAATTGTCGGTACAGGTCCACGTCTTCCTATAGTCCCCATATAAAGGTACCTCCCGATATTCGATATTTTGATGATTTTAGCGACATTATTAACCGGAATTGTTTCAAATTACGTGTTTGAAATTCGTAATGGATGCTGCAGCCTAAGGCAAAAAATTGTCTGTGCAGGTTCATATTTTGGTATAGCCCCCATATAAGAGAATCTCCGTATATTGAAGATTCTACCTACATTATTCACAGTTTTTTTTTTATGTTTCGCATTTGAAGATTGTAAAGGCTTATAACAAAGGTTGTCTATGCAGGTCAACGTCGTCGTTTAGACCCTAATAGAGTTTTAATGGATTCTATTGTTTTTTTTTTCTCTTTTTTTTTTGAAAATTGCCAAATTCTTTCAAATGGTATTCAAAGTTCGGCCCGGCCGAACTTACAGCTTTTTCTCTTGTTTTAATATAATCCTTCTCCCAGGGATATTATGCACTCTATAGCAAACTATAACAGCTATAAGGCCAAATGTTGATACTACTTGAAATAAATTGTTTTCTTACGGGAGCTCTACTAAATATGAAGAGAGGTGTAAGGTATCATATAGCCCCCGCCCGACTTTTTACCTTTCCTTACAAGTTTTTCCTTACCCAGTTTACAATACAAACTGATTTTTAAGACAATTATGTATAAGGATACATTTTATTATTTTCAATTTCAACTCATTGAAATGGTATGGCATGGCAATTTTGATCTATATTCTACCGTAATCTTTTTAGGTATTATGATATTTTTCTTCTACCCCATCTACCAAGTCTATCAGCAGATACGCTGGAACAGTGAAAATCCCGTGCAGCCACAATATGACAACGCCGAAGCTGGAGTGAAGCCGATCGAGTCGGCAAACAATGGCATTTATGTTAATTAAATATTTAATTTTTATTAACTCGTTCAATAATGTTTGTCTACAATTTACTTTTTTTTCTATAAATAATTGTTATTTATTAAAACATATATATCACAAATAGTATTTATATATTATTAAAATTCCAATGAAAACGATTAAATGTACTATATGTTGAGGTCATCTAAGGTTTCTTTGAAATTTTACCAAAAATATATATACGTATATGAAATAATACAAAACAAGTGGAAAGTTACCCAAATATTAATTTGATTTTATAAATGTTTAATCCAATATGAGTATATATAAATTTGTTAAATAAAAATATATTGACAATAATTATACACATCACAAAAAGTTGTTTTGCCTGTTGCAGAGATTATAATGATTTAAAAAGTTATTTGTGTTAAAGTGGTTTTGGAATAAATCTCAATGAATTACATATAATTTAAGGACAATGTCCATAAAAATTTTATTTGATTTGAAGAGCGATTATATAACTAAATTTTGAGATTACACACTTAGTTAAGTTTAGCCTCGTTTTAATCTATATTTCTAAAATAGTTCTGAAATAATTGACTGACTGATCGAAAATCAAAGCCAAAACCAACGGCTAAACCTAGAATCTTGAAATCATGTCAATGCGTGTGATAAGGCTGGGGTTTTGGAAATTCGTGCTAAAAGGATATGAAAATTACTAAAATGTACTAAAAATTTTATACTTTGTATTGGACAAACCGAATGAGCTCCAATTCTGTAATTTGGAATGGGGGTCACTGATGGAGTATAGGATAGATGTCCCAAAGAGTTTTTGGAAATTTAAACTATAAGTTACGAGGAGTTCTAAAATGATACTAAACTTTTAAAATGGTACCATTTGGTATTATGTAAACAGATAAAAACTTGGTATTTAGTATGAGAATCAAGGTTCAAAAGTAAATTTAATATATGAATGTTGTTTTGGAATTTTATACTAATTTCTTGAACTGTACAAAATGTTACTAAATTTGAAACAATTTGGTTTAGTGAAACGGATGAAACTGAAATTTTGTATTGGGGAGCCTGGGGTTTTGGGAATGTGCACAAGAAAAACAGGGTTGCCCATATTCGACGGACCCATCTGGCAACGCCATAACTTTTGACAGAGATGTCACATCGCTTAATGACATACCGCGTTTGAAGCGTCGGTCCAAGCAGATTTTTACTAGGAACCAATACACCCTACGCGAGCGCTCTGAAATAGTTGAAATTTACAAGAAGTCAATTGTGAAAACTCAACGTGCTTTTAAAACATTAAAAAATGTGAGAAGTGCGCCTCCTAAGAACACCATTAAGCGTGTATACGAAAAATTTTCGACTGTTAAGGCTCTTTCTAATCCGAAGAGGCCATATAAAAGTCGACCAAGGCGATCGGCCGAGAATATCGCTGCCGTACGAGCCAGTGTTGAGAGGTCCCCAACAACATCCCAAAAACGCAGTTCTCAGCAGTTGGGCATGGCTCGGTCCACTTTACAACGGATTGTTCGCATTGATTTGCATTTGTTCCCGTACAAAATTCAATTGACGCAAAGAATGTTGCCTGCGGACAAGCCTCGTCGATTGGAATGGGCCCAAAGGTCCGTCGAATATGGGCAACCCTGTACACGAAATGTACTAAACAGTACCGTATTTTTTAAATTGGGTGAACAGAAAGTGTAATGCAAAATTAGTAGTGTGTACTTTAAGTGTACGAAAAGTACTGAATGGTACTATACTTGGTACTGGGTGAAAGGATGGACTAGAATCCCAAAAAAAAACATTAAATTGAATTCGAAAATTCGATCTTTGTTAAGAGAAGGAGATGGTTTTGGAGTATAACTGTACAAAAAGTAAGGAAATACATGTTGGATTGGGTCTTAGGATAAAGCTGGAATTCTGAAATGTGATATGGAGACCACTGCAAACATTTTGTAAAAAAAAAACAAGTCAAAAAGCTGTAAGTTCGGCCGGGCCGAACTTTACCCTCCACCATTTGAAACAAATTTGGCAATTTAAAAAAAAAAAAATCCGTTAAAAATTCTGTTTAAATTTTAAAAATACGGAATGTAGCCGTTATATTAAGGTCTATACGACGACGTGGATCTGCATAGGCAACTTTTGTCACAAGTCATTACAATATTCAAATGCGAAACTTGAAAAAAATCGGTGAATAATATAGCTAAAATCATCAAAATACCGAATATAGGGAGGTACTATACCAAAACGAGGACCTACACAGACACTTTTCTGTCATAGTAGTATCCATTACGAACTTCAAATGCCAAATTTGAAACAATTCCGATGAATAATGTCACTAAAATTATCAAAATACCGAATATTGGGAGGTACCGTTATATGGGGCTGTACGAAGACGTAGACCTGTTTAGACATTTTTCTGTCATAGGCTGTAGTATGCATTACGGACTTTAAATACCAAATTTGAAACAATTCTAGTGAAAAATGTCGCAACAATCATCAAAACACCGAATATCTAGGGTAACCGTTGTATGGGAGCAATACCAAAACGTGGTACGATATAATTTTCAATACCAACCATCCTAGGAACAACAGAAACTACTGAGCCAAGTTTTAAAGCTCTGCGTCTCATAATGTTTGCAGACGGACAGATAAAAAGACGGACATTGTTAAATCGACTTAGAATTTTATGCTGATCATGAATATACATATTTTATGGTTTCTACGACGAATATTGAGGCATGTTACAAACGGATCAGAGTTAATAAACCACCTTTTCAAGAAGGAGGGTATAAAAATACAAATTTCATATTGAGTGACGGGAGAACATGCTATTTAGATAAAACTTATTTGCGAAAATTGACATTATCATCACTCCCCATCTAATAATAGCTTTGGTAAAATGAATACCCTCCACCTTTTGGAACGAATTTGGCAATTTTCAAAAAAATAAAATCCGTTGAAAACTATGTTAAAATCTTAAAAATACCAAATTAGGGTCTTAACGATGACATGGACCTGTATAGGCAACTTTTGTCATAAGCCATTACAATATTAAAATGCTAAACTTAAAAAAAAACGTCGGTGAATAATGTAGCTAAAATCTTCAATATACGGAGATACTATTATATGGGGGCTATACCAAAATGTGGACCTGCACAGACAATTTTCTGCATTAGGCTGCAGTATCCATTACGAACTTCAAATACCAAATTTAAAACCATTCCGGTGAATAATGTCGCTAAAATCATCAAAATGTCGCATATCGGGAGGTACTGTTATATGGGGGCTATACGAAGGCGTGGACCTACATGGCCTATTTGCATGTATGTCCTGCAGACATAATACGCATTTGAGTAAAATTTTATCAACCTACTTCATTTCATTCCAAAGCTAGAGTGATTTCCACAGACGGATAGACAAAGCTAAATCGACATAGAATTTTATGCTGATCAAATATCTCAAATATATATTTCGAGGTGTTACAAACGGAATACCAAACTAAATATACCTTTCATACTATGGTGGAGGGTATAAAAATAGGAGTATCCGAAACATGGAACATCGAAACATCTGGATAAAATTTAGGTTAGGTTCAAAATGGACTACGTTTGCCCTCTCCTTCGTGTACCTCTTCCACAAAGTGTCAACATTTTGAATAATAATCCTCGTAATATGTGAAATCAAATTTAGCACACCCCACACAGAAACACCCTATAACATTCACATCTTTATTTGTTCCATTTGCAGCCTAAAATTGTGAAAACCATTAAAATATCTATGCATGAATAAAGAATGAGTCATAGCCGGCTTTTTTGTTATCTTTTAAAAAAGTCAATGAACGAATATAAACATTAAAACCTCTAGCAAGAGTATTCTCTCTGTGTCACTTAAATAGCACAAGGCATATTGCCGTTGTCACTTCTCTTCGAAGAAAATGTAAATTTTGTTAGTATTACAACAGAGAGTATTCAAAGAGAATACAAATTGAAAATAACAATGGAGAAAACTGAAAATCCAACATAATGTGGTATGGTATTATTGGGCGAGTATTCAAACTATTGTGGAATACGCAATAGAAATGTGGGTGGCCCCCCTGTGACATCATGTACTAAAACAGTGGGGGAATTTAAATAAACCAAATTGAACGGAAGTAAATGTCAACGAAATTTAAAAATAAATTAAAGTTTTAATTGAAAAATTTTGAAAGAAATGAAATGCTGCTACGGAAATTAATTTATTTTGGGTTAAATTAATTAACCGCAAATTTTTTACTTCAATTCATAGCGTAGGAACCTATTTGTGTGTTAAGAATTATGTAGTTTTATGAAAAGCAAAACAAATTTTAAAGATCACCTCAAAAAACTTTCAAAAACTTTCATTAATAACACTATCAGCCTGTTACACGATATCGAAAGAACACGTTCGCACAACTTTTACACGACAAACAGCTGATTTCCGTTCCACTAAAATCCATCAGAATGAAAATTTGCACGAAAATCAAAGCGAACGAAAACGTAAGCGTTTCAGTGTAATTTTGCGTTCCACTATCTTTTTTCTTTCGTACGCATGCGAACACAAATGTCAAAATCAGTCACTTGTGTGTTTGCTGTCGAATGATAAAAATTAAGGAAAATTGTTTTAACATAAACATTGCGTGATTGAAAACGGAAAGAAAAATGTAAGTAAAAATAATAAGCTGCGGGCACTAGTTGAGTATATGGAGGAGAATCCTGAGTTCGCCAGAGGAGTGCCAATTTTTGGAAGCAGCAGGCAATCCCTTGAAGACCACTGGAAGAAATTAGTTTTTAAATTAAAAACCATGGGTCCTCCACAAACCTAGAAAAATTCATTTTTTATTATTTCAAAAATGTAAAAATACAATCATACTTACTGGTTGTTAGGTACTTCATAAAAAATAGGGCTACAGAAATATTCATTTTTTTTTTTTTTTTTTTAAGAACACAAATAGTTTGAACACAATCCCTAGAAATTTTATTTTGTTTGTTTATTTACAATTTGTTTGTTTACAACTGAACTGTCAGTTGAGGCAGAGCCACTGCTGCTTTTTCGCGTTTAAATTAGACATTTGGCGCTTTTTTGCCTTATTT